TCATCCTCAGAAAACCAGAGAGTGTCAAACAAATCAAGATGAACTTTGATCATGCTTCACATGATGAGTTTTACAGTCTTTTTCTGATGAAAGCCAGTAATAAATATGTGTAATATCTCAGTTTGTCTTCAAACTTGTATCCACTTCATACCTAGTAGGTGTCCTGCTTGGGACACAAATAGGTGGGCATGTTTCCATGTCTGTCACAGAGCAGTCATTGACAGTGCATTCCCAAGGCTCCATCACATCAGTGCAGGTACAAAGACAGCTGGCACATTTTTATCTAATGTCAGTCCTGGAGCTAAAAAACACATCTGTTACACTGTTTGCAAACAGGCTGTATGGTAATACAGAACAGTAGACAGGTATGGAGACATTACACTTTCTTTTTCAACATCACAGGGAAATATTGTACTTTTTACTTCTTTGACACGTTCAGTTACTTTACAATATTTTTTGCTCACAGAATGAAGACGTATTGAAATATGATTTTTTTTTTTCATTTTGGTGATGTTCCAGCTTCAGCAATATTTTATATTTATATTACATTCATGTTTGCCTGTCACAGGTGATATTGTTCCGTTTCAAGTTCTTTTATGTACATTTTAAGTACATTTTCATCGAATGTACCATTTCATCACAGCATTGATATTTTGAGTGCAGTAGTAGTACTTGTGCTTATGTTAAAAAAAATCCTACTACAGTACAATAAGCAGTTCAATTGATTCTGTCACAACGACCCTCAAATGAACTTTTGGACGTATAACTTTGTTATTTAGTTTGAATTGATTTGTTTGTAGATTACCAATGAACACAATCAAATAAAGTTGAAACATAACTGTCATTTTGATGTTTTCATGGATTTTTCAATCATATACATTCATATATATATATGTATTGTGTAGAATATGTATTCACACAGCCATTCATAGAGCTACAAACCTTCCTTTAACTTACATATTTCAGCCAGACATGTCAAACCTGTGGCCCAGGGGACACAGCTGGCTCACTAGAGGGTCCAGGCTTGCCTACTGAATGCTCTGGAAAGTGTGGACGTTTCAGTGAAGTCATGAATTGAAATGAATTGGTGATGCAATGCTAGTACTGACACACCACAGCAAAAATGTATAGACATTTATGTTTGCACGATAAAGACATAAAACACTATTGTTTAGTGGCAAGAAGGTACATGTTGAGACTTTTTTTGTTTTTACCGGCACCGTGCTGTAAATCATTATATAGTTCTGACTGTAGACTTGATATGGAACAAGTGAAAATTAGTGCTGAAAATGTACTTTGTGAAAAAGAAAGGAGAAGTCTTCTCCAAAACTGCCAATGCAAAGTCTATATTGAACACGAGAGGGATTAAATGGCATGTGAGAAAATGTCAAAGTTAATGTTATGATTTCAATTTGATATCATTTATGTGGCCTTGTTAAAA